CGTTTTTAGAACTAAATAAGTGCTGCCATCCAGTGAAAACTGTACATGCTGCCCCTTGCCGCCTGCGGCAATGCTCGTTCCGATGGCACACATCCTTCCTGTCTGTTTCAGTATCCATTGGCTCCTCTCAAATGGTTCAATCACAATAAGGCTCTTTCTATAATAAATGAATGGGTGAATTTTTTGGGATAAATGATAAAATGATAAATGATGACCTGGCTTGGGCTTTCGTTTTGATTGAATAAAAGAAAGCACCGAAAGAAAATTTCTCGAACGAAGATGGTGATGTGTTGCTATTGTGGGGAAGCGGATGCTTCGGTGTACGTGGCAATCGGCAAACGGCATAATTTGGAGATCGATCGTTTGTAAGGGCCGTTCTTCGTGCGAATTGTTGCTACGCGAACCAATTGATCTGCTCCGGGATGTAGCTCGATGATGCGACCAAGTAACCATTCGTTCGGTGGTAAGCGATCATCTTTGATGAGAACCAAATCATTTAGTTGGAGATTCGGTTGTTCGTTGTGCCATTTTGGTCGAGCTTGAAGATGTGTCAACCAATCCGATGACCATTTTGACCAAAATTGCTGTATCATGCGTTGCAACGTAAGATAATGTGCGCTCAGTGACAGCTCTTTCGATGGATCAGCGGGTGGGGCGAGTAGTGTGTCGCCAATTAAAAAGTGCCCAGGTGTGAGCACATCCAATTCATCCGGATCGGCAGTCAATGGGCAAAGCGGACGTGAATTTAGGCACGATTCAATTCGTACCAAGACAGTTGTGAGCTCTTCGAATGTGAGTCGTGTGCCATCGATCATTCGTTTCAAGTGGAATTTGAGCGATTTGATGTTGGCTTCCCAAAGTCCTCCAAAATTCGGCGAATGTGGTGGATTGAAATGCCACTGAATGCCTTGCATTGACAATTTTGGCACAATGTCTTTGTTGATAGCGTCTACAAATGAATTGTGACCGACGATTTTCTCGGCACCGACGAAATTGGTGCCATTATCGCTGTGCATATCACGAGGCTTGCCTCGACGTCCGATGAAACGATGCAATGCACACAAAAAATGTTCAGTTGTCATTCCCGTCGTTGCTTCGAGGTGAACAGCTTTGGTTGCGAGGCAAATGAACAGAGCAATGTATCCCTTGTACGTCGTATTGCCACGAAATTTGGATGCTTTGAGTTCAATTGCACCAGTGAAGTCCACTCCAGTGGCTAAGAACGGTCGATGAGGTGGATTAACGCGATTGTACGGCAAATTTCCCATCAATTGTGTTGTTGTTTCTGGTTTTGCTTTAAAGCAGGTGACACACTTGCGAATACGTGACCGAACGGCATGTCGGCCGTTTGCAATCCAAAAACACCCACGAATGTGTGTGAGTGTGACGAGCGTTCCACCGTGCAATGTACTTGAATGTGCATCGTCGATAACCAGTGTGGTGAAATGATGGTTTTGAGGCAAAATTATTGGATGGCGCTGACGATACGGTAAATTGGAGCGTTGCAATCTGCCCCGTACACGGACAATATTTTGTTCATCCAAAAATGGTGCCAATCCGCTAATTTTACATTTCTTGGGTAAAGGTTCATTATTGGAAATACATTTAATCTCCTTACCGAATGCTTCAGCTTGCACGAGACGGACCAACTGGAACAAACTGGATTGAATTTCCGCTACGGTCAGTTCTCCTTGCATTCGTTTCAACTTGTTGAGTGCATTGTGACGAAATCGACGAATCCATGCGTTGACCCGAATCAATTTGTATAACGATGAATACAGAAACATAATAATCGATTCAGTTTGAATGCTCACATGAACATGAATTTCTGATGCCTTTACTTCTGCCAAATCCTCAGTGAAGCTGATGATGCCCGGTTTGAATGTAGGCCAGTCCTTTTTCGGTTTGACTAACCACTCCGGTCCTTTCCACCACAAATCAAACTTGGATAACTGTGCCGGTGTCAATCCACGTGTGGCACAATCGGCAGGATTATCGTGAGTGCCAACATGGCTCCATTGTTTGGGTGACGTTGATGCTAAAATTTTACTAATTCGATTTGCGACGTACGTTTTCCAACGTGAGATGTCTCCATGAATCCAATGTAACACAACCGTTGCGTCACACCAAAAGTAAATCGGAATTTGATCGACTGAGATCTGAAGATTTGATTTTACCCAAACTGCTAATCGAGTGGCAAGTTCGGCTCCACACAATTCGATTCGTGGAATGGTTAATGGTTTGGTTGGAGTTACCTTGCTTTTGGCGATGAGTAGATGCGTGTGTACCAATCCATTGCTGTACTGCATTCGGATGTAAACATTTGCTGCATATGCTGATGTCGCGCCGTCACAAAATGCATGCAACTCGATTGATTGAATTTGATTCGGCGCAAATTGGATCCATCTTGGTATGGATATCTTCTCGATGTCAGGCAATTCCACCAGAAATTTGCTCCAAAGTGCGTTGAGCGATTCTGGTAAAACGTCGTCCCAATTCAACGCTGTATTTTTGTTCGATTGGGCATCACTGTGAATTGATGAGTTATGGCCCTAGATGCGTTTGAGAATGATTTTTGCAACGACCACAACCGGTGCGATGTAGCCCAACGGATCGTAGAGGCGAGCAGTTGTTGACAAAACAGCTCGTTTCGTCGCAATTTTTGCTGGTTCAAATCGGAGTTTGTATTTGAATTGATCGGCGCCAGGTTGCCAAATCATTCCGAGCGTTTTGACGGTTTCGTCCGTGTTGAACTCTAACGCTGAATTTATGGATTGATGTTCAATTGGAATCGATGATAATAACGATGGATGGTTGCTGCCCCATTTCCGCAGCTCCATACCCGCTGATTTGAGTGCACCGATTAAATCATCTCGTTTAGCTAAGGCACTTTCGATCGAATGCCCGCCAGATTGTACATCGTCGACGTACATTTCTTGCTTTAGAATCGATTCGGCGAGCGGAAAATGCTCCTTCTCATCATTGGCAATCTGGTGCATCACCGAGATAGCAATCGCAGGGGCTGGTGCTGTTCCAAATGTTACGGTTGTTAGGCAAAATGTTTGCAACTCACCCGAATCGTTTCTCCATAAAATTTGTTGATATGGTACATCGTCAGGATGCATATCAATGCAGCGATACATGCGCTGAATGTCTGCGGTGAAAACAAATTCGTACAATCTCCAGTTGAGAATTACAGCGGGCAATTCGTTTTGCAGTGCAGGACCGATGCATAAGTTTTCGTTCAAGGAGCGACCGTTGGACGTTTTTGCCGATGCATTGAAAACGATTCGAGTCTTCGTGGTGAGACTGTCTTCTTTGATGATAGCGTGGTGTGGTAAAACGCACGCTCGAACAATTACATTTCCATTGTCGTCGTGAGTGACGTATGCTTGTTCTGGGAATGGAGCAGGTATAATTTGATTAAGTTGAAAATATTCATTGATACCTGCTTCGTAGCGCTCTCGCAAACCTTCCACGCGATTGAAACGGCATTCCAAACGATGAAACCAATTCACGCCAATTTGATGTGAGCGCCCTAAATTGTATGATTTGAATGGAAGACGCACCATGTATTTTCCATTGGGTTGACGATGATGCGTTTGTTTGAAGAAATCCATAAACCATTTTTCCTCTTCGGTATGCGATTTCTCTTGCGGTATTCTTTCAGCTTCGATGAAGTCGTGAAATAGTGAGGTGAGGTCGATGGACGTGTGATGAGTCCGTATGGTGACCTTTTGATTGTTAGCTGAATTTGGTTTGGAAATTGATGCTGTCTGGCCATGCAAAATCCACCCAAAGTATGTATTTCGAGCGATTGGGTGATTTGGTTGACCGATGCGTGTGTCTGGTAACATGATCGATGCAGACCATTCTGAGCCGATGAGCAGATCAATTTTTCCTGGTTCGAAGTAAGTTGGATCAGCTAACACTAATCCATGAATGTGTGGCCAATCTTGGGGCGTAACCCGTCGGCTTGGCAAATCAGATGTGACGACTTTCATTACGATGGCTAAGTCGACAAACACTCGATAATCTCGATGCACATTGGATCGCAATGCAAATTGAACTATTTCGTTGCTAGTTCCAGCATGGTTTTGGCCTACGCCGTTGACTTCGGTGATGGCAAATGTGCGTCGAAGACCCAAAACGTTGGTGGCATGCTCAGATATAATCGTGCCTTCTGAACAGTCGTCGATGAGTGCACGTAAAACGGTGACTTTACCGGTTTTCACGTTTTCCACTGGGATGAGAGCTGTCGCGAGCAAGACAGATTTTGGAGCATGAATGGTCGAAAAAACATTTGTTGCGAGTGTTCGCATTTCAGGATTTGAAAATGAGTTACTCGCCTGATTTGGTGCTGGTCTCCCTGGAACGGCGGTATTTGTGAAACTCGCGGCGTTATTCGTTGAACTCGCAGCGCTATTCGATGAAGTAACGGGAAAATGCAGCATTGTGTGATGCCGTAGGCCGCATTGAAGACAGTTCTTGGCGCTACCGCATTGTGCAATTAGGTGTTGGCGACTCAAACAATTGAGGCAAAGCTTTAGACGATCAGCGAGTGCCTTTCTTTCGAAGCATTCCTTTGCGATGAATGTTGGACAACGGCGAACAACGTGAGTGCCGTTACACACTGGACAATTCTCCGTCGGATTACTGTTTCCATTGGTGTTTGAGTTGCGAGCCGTGGTTGTGTGAAACGATTTCCGTTCAAAATTCTTGTTTCGTTTCATTTGTTTCGAGTCATTCGCATGTGTATTCGAGACTTTGTGTGAGTCATGCACGGGTTTCATCATCGACACCGAGTGTACGGTACCTCGGCTCTCAATTGCATCTAAAGTGAATAAACGGTCATTAAGAAATTTTTCAAGGTCAGAAAATGTTGGAATTTCACTGTGGCTGCCCCAATGATGCTCCCAATCGTGATGAGTTTCAGTCGGCAATTTGGTCGCGATCAAATGGGCAATCCAATGGTCACAGTCATCGATTGGAATATTCAGACGTCGAAATGCCGTTATGCACACATTTGCGTAGAGTGTGTTCAAATGGTGCATGTACAGAATTCGTGGACTGTTGTACCGTTTAACGAGCAAATCCCATGCGGCGCGATTGGAAGCTTCGGTTAACGGCATCTCATGAATGTCTCTATCGTGATTCGGTGGCAATGCTTGTTTTAAATAATTTAATTTCTGAATTGTATCCAATGCGAGGTTTTGATGCACTAAACGAGTAAATGAATCATTGAAACTCGGCCAATCGGTATGTTTGCCCGAGAATTTAGGCATTTCAATCCGATGGCAATTGCACACTGGAATGATTTCGTTGAACAATGTGTTGCGCTGAGTCCTGCGATCCCGTTGGAATCGGTTCAGACGGTGCAAATTTTTCCTCTCGCGCATCTTGAATCGCACTGTAAGCTAACACATATTTTTCCTCGAACACGAGTGCCAATTCGTCTGTGAAATATTCATCCGTAGCTCCAAGGTTAGAGCACACAATTTGTTTATGCGTGGCGAAAAACTCCGTGTATGTGTTTTGGCACTGCGTTAATTTCAAAGCGAAATAGGATTTTGTCCGTCGAACTTCACCAGTCTTTTCAAAATTCGTTAAGACTCCCTCCACATATTTGAGACGGTCCCGTTGCATTTTCACCAAGTTTGCAACACTTTGGATTGTCGATGGTTCGACCTCTGTATCACTCATTTTATTGCACTACACGAATTACGGTAAAATGTCAATCGATTTTATTTTTATTTTTATTTTTTCACTGATCGAATGTTCGTGATTTTGTTCGCTTTTTTCCTCCCATGGGCCACCAAAATGTTTGTGTCGGAGACAATGTTCGGCCGCTTAGTTTAAAAATAAAAC